TACTACTGTCCCTGCTTTACCTGCTGTCCAAGTAAGTACTCGCGTCGTCTGTATCCCTGCTAAATATCTTGTTTTGGCCGGGAACTACTTTCAAGATTCAAGTTTGTAGTCCAGCCAAGGGCAAAAGCAATAAAGCCTATTTATGATCGGAGAAAAGGATGGGTTAAGTTATTCACCAGCTTCCCCTTCCTTTTCTCCAACCAGTGGTGGTGCTGAATCTATTTCACAGGATGGTCTATGTCTTTCAACCAAACGACGAAGGGTGGTAGGCAGGCAATCAGGTGGTTCTTTGAAAGGAACTAATCTGAGAGTCTATCCGGAAAAAAAAGAAGCCCCGCCGGCCGCCACCCCACCCACCACTTCAGGGCGAACAAAAGCGAAAGCAAAGCGCCGATGCCCACCATGGCCCGGAATTGCCTGCCATCCGTCCGTTTGAATGCGGCCGGTCACGCTTCCCGGCACGTGAGTTCCGCAATCGAATTAAAAGGCGTTAGGAATCGAGTGAAATATTCCTTTCTCAACGTCTGAATTTTTAGTCACACCAATTCTATGTACAAATTACACGGAAACAATTACTGTAGCTCTAGTAAACGTTTAGTATAAATTCAACGCAAGTTGAAGGTATGTAAAATTAGATTAAGGTCATGTTTGGTACAACTAAGCTTCACCACTGTTTTTTTTAAACAGCTTCATGAACAGCTTTCTCGGTGTGGTCGGCTGAGGACGGCGGTAGCGGCGCCTGGTCTGCGGGGCATGGAGAGCGGCTACATAGCGAGAACCGAGGGCATGGGCAGGGAAAAATTGAATGCAAACTGTATCCATGAGGACTACATGCATATATGGCTTGGTTACCTGACACGTGTCCATGGTCTCATGGAAGACAAATATAGCAGTTTGAAGTAGTTTTATATCAAAATATCAATTAACCATGAAAAACATAAAATATATCATGAAAAATAAAGGATGCAGTTTTCCCATACGAAAAGGCTAATTTATCAAACTAATAGATGACGAGTGACGGCCATTATTCATTGTGACAAGCAATCTACACAAAAAAGAGAATTAACTAGTCAAACAAATATGGACTTCTAAATTATGAAATTAGAAGAGAACAGTGCATACCACTAATTTTTTTAGGCAATAACATACATCGGTTTTTCATCTGTTGAAACCCTTTTTTATTTTTTTTCATTACTAGCAAATATGCCTGTGCATTGCAACGGGGTGTATAACTTATGCGGCTAAATGAATAACTTGAGACTTGAGATTAGTCTCGTGTTTCAATTCATTTTAGAATATCTGGATGCACACTTCTATAACTTGTATGGGAACTAATTACTTGGACATTTATCCAATGATCACACCATGCGTTTCAATTTCTCTTGTACTCAGACACTGAGACCGGACTTTCCTACTGTGTCTGGAGCTACATTAACTCATATGGGCATGATAGACTTGAAGATTTTAATCAATGATCACATTATACACTCTAATTGCCGGGCTCGTGCCAGCCGGGTTCGACCATAGGGTCGTGCCTAGGCCGCACCTCTGGCACGCCGTGTCGGCACGGGACGGCCCGACAGCGACCCGCTACCCTACTGGTATATAATATTTCATCCAAAAATAAAACCCTAGCTCTAACACTTCCTTAGCAACCGCCACCCCATCTGTCCACGCGGTCCATGCTCCTCTCCTCTCCTCCCCTGCTACTCCTCTCCTCCATTGGTGGCGTTGTCCTTGCTCCTCTCCTTCATGGTGGGTGGACCAGGCCTGGCCGTGTGGATGTAGGGGCGCACGTAGGATGTATATCTTGTTGCAGGATCACCTAGAATTATGGCTCGGAGATTTATTCAACAATCACATCGTACATTTTTACTCCGCTCGGAATCGAATTCCATATTATGTGTGGACACATGTTGTTTTTAGCTTGTATAGGTATGTGAGGATTAAAAACATTCTAACTCGCATGAGCACTCAAGAGAGTGGTGAACCATGAAAATTCTCCATATTATAATTCGTTTGGACTCGAAGTCCATCCCATACTTGAACACACTGGCCCGTTCGGCTTACCCCATATTCGGCTTGTTCGGCTTGTTTTTTCAGCCGGAACAGTGTTTTCCTCTCACAACAATTCAGCCGGAACAGTGTTTTTCAGTCAGGATTCAGACCAGCTAACGGGACCACTATTCTAACTTGTACGCCAAGAGATTAGGTCCATCAGATCCTTATCAAAAATTTGTAAATGATGGACAATTTGTTTTTCTCTCTTTAATATATATCAGAGAGATACATGCTTGCTAGCTAGCTAGCCAGCCAAAGAACGGTAGCACGTCAACCGCTTGCCCATGTATATGCCCAGTCAGCTAATCAGACGCCGTTGTTTTCTACTTCCACCTCTTTCCCATGTATATACCCCCTCCTACTATATTTCCTTTCTTTTCTTTTTCTTTTTCTTTTTTCCTCCTTCATTATTTACTTCATCTCCATCCTATCCAACCACATGGGTCCTTGCGAGTTCAGCCTCATCCGTGCCCAACGCTCGACACCCACCAGCATCGGCGAGAGAGCGCGAGGATTCTCGGCCTGTCTATGCCGCGTCACCTCTGCTACGCTCCCCACGCCGGCCTCTACCCGTGGCCTCGCACTGCCTCCCCACGCCAGCTTCTGCTTGCCGCATCGCGTGGCCTCCAACGCTCCCCACGCCGGCCTCCGCTCACGTCGCCTTGCTGCTCCCCGCGCCGGCGTCCACTTGCGCCGCCTGCACCGATCCCTGTGCCGGACTCCGCCCGCGTGGCCGGTGCAAATCGGACCATGGGCGCGCGCCTGGCCCTGTCCGGCGCGCACGGAAGACCTGGCTAGGTGCGCGTGCAGCTGGCCGCGCACATGAGGGGGAGGCGACGGCGCGGTCGCCCTAGCCAACGAGGGCAGAGGTGGCGGCGCCGGCGGACTTGGCTGGCGGCTTGGAGGCGGCGGCGCGGGCGGCCTGGAGGCGCGACCCCGTCGGTGTTTGATTTTTTCGCTGATTTTCCTCGATTCGAATCTTTCTCTAATTTCTCTTCGATCGATTCGTGCAGATATTGTGGTGGCCTCGATTCGATCTATTCTGTCTTGCTTTGATTTGATGAGTAGTGGTGACATGAGATGCCGATGGCTAGTTTTTACAACCTTGTTGGTATTTGATGTGTATTGTATTCGATTTTGTATTATATTGGATTCGATTTTGGGAAGGAGATCCCACGGAGATTTGGGTGCGTCTATATATCTGTTTGGGGAAGGAACGGCACAGGAGTCCATTTGATAAACTTTGTTTGGGGCTTTCATTTAAAAGATTGTCCTCGTGATTTATAATATATAATTAGTTGAGACGGATTGGACATCGTTAAAATTAATGAATACAGAGAGAAATTTTTTCCAATCTAAAAAGGCCTATTTATCTGTTTGGGGAAGGAACGGCACAGGAGTCCATCAAAGGGGGGCTTTCAGTAGATTGTGGTTATGAGTATGAGACGGATTGGATTAGAGCGGACAGACGAAAAATTTTCCAGACAAAAAAACGATTAAATTTTCCCTCTTTAGTAGGGAAAAAATAATACGAATAGAACCCGGACTGAAATAGAAAAAAATATATATACAAGCATACCAAAAAATATATATATACAAGCATACCGGTGGAAAAAGAGGACAAAAAAATGGCTGAAATTTTCCCTCTTTAGTAGGAAAAAAATAATACGAATAGAACCTGGACAGGAATAGGAAAAAATATATACAAACATACTGGAGTGAAAAAAGAGGCAGAAAAAAAGTTAAGGCGGAAAAAAAGTTATGGTAAAAATTTTATCTTTTTATTATTAGGTATAGATCGATGCTTCTAAATATTTTCTTCTGATTGTAGCATATCATCAAGTTATTGAGCCATTCGTCGTCCATTTTATTACGCAAATTTGTCTTTATAATGGATATACTCCTATGGCCAAAAATATCCTCTCAACTGAAGCCGTTGACACTAGAAGTATCAATGCTAGCTCTATGAGACGATAAACCAATAGATAAGTTGTCCATTTTAGTCTTTTCGGTAATTTCGATAACTTTTCCAAGCTCAATACATCCAAAAAAATTCTTGAGTTCTCCTAAAACAATTCATAGAGGTTTTGAGTTCATTTGGCAAAACAGTAAGGTCACCAACGTCAAAATCCTCAGCATAAATTTCAGCAAGCCCTCACAAGTTTATCCACATCAAATCTAGAGAATGAGAGTTCTTTAGGTTAAAAGAAGCCATACACCTAATAACTCTAAACTAATTTCAATAAACCGATGATTCAGCTTAGCCAAGATGATTCAACATGGTAGTAATGCATGTTTGTTACCTTTTGCTAATATAAGTGATGTTTACTACACAAGGTAATGATTTTTCAAATTGCCCTTTTCAGGTGTGGTTACTGATTTCCTTGATGCTCACAGAATCCTCTCTACCTTGTTGACAATTGGCATGAATCCTCCGTGCCTCGGACAGATCAGCCCTTGGAGGAATTTCGGGTCGGTGAAGCGCGGCGTTGGCACCAGCGGCACGCCACGGCGAACCTGAAGAATGTTGGCTAGCTACGCGGGAGAAGAAGACCTCGAGTTGAACGACCTTGCGTCCTAGTTTGAGCCCGTCGCAAAACCGCAACGCAACAGAGGTGCCGGCCGGGCGGGCGGCATCCACGGTCCACGCCACCTGCGTGAGTGCATTTTGGAGTTGGAAAACACGCCACCGTGCACACGGTAGATATTCACAAGGCGCGTAAGACAAGGCGAAGAAACTAGGCATCTCTCTTCATCCTGTGATGGAGAATCCAATACAGTGGCCAGCAGTGCCCTTCACAGACTCAGTTGTCAGCGTATCAGTATATATATATATCCCGCGGACTGCGCCTACAATGGGATATATCCATATATACATCTTTCGTCTCACTGCACACAAAGACACGCCGACAAATCGTGTGCGAGTGAGAGCTACCTCCATGGCAGCGGCGGCCAGCCGGAGCAGGGAGGAACGGTGGAGCCTCGCCGGCAAGACGGCGCTCGTCACCGGAGGAAGCAAGGGGATCGGGTAACTAAGCTACACATACACATCCACGTCCACACATGCATGCCTGCGTCCATGCGGCTGACACATGACACGAGCATACGTATGTCCCAGGCGCGCGATCGTGGAGGAGCTGGCGGGGTTCGGGGTACGCGTGCACACGTGCGCCCGCACCGCCGCCGACCTGGACGAGTGCCTGCGCGCGTGGGCCGCCGACGCCCGCCTGACGGGGCGCGTCACGGCGTCCGTCTGCGACGTGTCGGTGCGGGGTGACCGGGAGCGGCTGGTGTCCGCGGCGCGGGCGGAGCTGGGGCCCAAGCTGGACATCCTCGTCAACAACGCCGGGCAGACCATGTTCGGCGCGGCCACGGACACGGCGCCCGGCGACTACGCGCGCCTCATGGCCACCAACCTCGAGTCCTGCTTCCACCTCGCGCAGCTGTCGCACCCGCTGCTCGTGGAGGCGGCCGGCGGGGGAGGCGGCGCCTCGGTGGTGAACGTGTCCTCCATCGCGGGGCTGGTCGCGTACCCGGCGCTGGCGGTGTACTCGGCGACCAAGGGCGGGCTGAACCAGCTCACGCGCAGCCTCGCCGCCGAGTGGGCGGGGGTCGGCGTGCGGGTCAACTGCGTCGCGCCGGGCGGCGTCCGCACGGACATCTCGAGCAACAACGGGTTGAAGCTGGACCCGGAGACGGAGGCGAGGATGGTGGCGGCGGAGGAGGCGCGGGTGCCCATCGGCCGCCTCGGGGAGCCCGAGGAGATCGCGTCCCTCGTCGCGTTCCTCTGCATGCCCGCCGCGTCCTACGTCACGGGCCAGGTCATCTGCGCCGACGGTGGCCGCACCATAGCTGCATAGGGGGCATACGGCCTTGCTAGCTGTACTACGTACGTGCCGACTCAACAAACAACGGCCCTGCCTTGTATCGACGAAACTGCTCGTATGGTATAAATCTGCTCGTTGTATTTCCATCTTGCCATGATTATTTTCAATTTGTCATACGAAATTAATGGAACCGCTTCATCATGGAATCAAACGACTCGTTGTGTACGGTGTGTGTACCCTTCTCTCCCAAGAACTTCATCAACAAAGTGCGTGCGGGGACGATGGCGACTGGTGATGGCGCGGCGTGCGCATGTCGTGTGCATGGCAAGCGTTACGGGAGCGCGGAGAACCGGGCTGACAGGCGAAGGCGTCCACAATCCGCGTTGGATTCCACCTGCTACGAAATCCTATCGGATTGACGGATTCATTATCAACCAAAAAACCAGAAAAATTCCTCTCAGGCTCCGTCAAACCGTTTGGCTTTCGGGTGACTCGGAATCGGAATCCGTTGCTGACTCGTTACATTAGTACATATATTGATATATACTTCGGCGCAATAGCAGCCGTGACGCCGCATCTCGCACAGCCAAGCTCGCCGCAGCTCAAGGCGCTGCGCATGCAAGCAATGGACGAAGAACAAGAACCGCCCATGCCGAACGATCTGCAGATCACGTCCGAGACGACGCGGCTCGACCTGGAGCCCCGCCCGCCCGGCGGCGGTGGACCGCGGGTCGAGCTGGTGCTGCGCCTGGCAATGACGGAGTGCCACACGTGGCGCGGGATCGGGGGCCGGAGCGGGCGGGTCCGCCGTCCCAGGCGCATGAGCAGGGAGATATGGCTGCCCCTGGACGACAACCCCTCCTCCTCCGGCGGCGGGCCCGACTACCTGCGGAGCGGCGACGACTGCCGCCGCCTCATCGGCCGGGCGATCAAGCACAGCCTCAGGGAGGAGGAGGAGTACCGCTACCTGACCCCGGCTTACTGGGACAAGGCCTCAGGGACAAGCACGACGGCGGCGGCGGCGGCGCCACGTTCGAGGTGATCGTTGACATCAGCGTCCACTTCGAGTTCGTGTACTGCGAGGCCAAGGCGCTGCTGCTTGCGTGCGCCGAGAACGACAGCGGTGACCCGGCCGGGAGGAGCGGGAACGGCGGCGACGGCGAGGCGCCGTCGTGCTCCATCTGCTTCGAGGAGATGTCGCGGGAAGCGGACGAGGTGACGGACCTGCCGGGGTGCACGCACGGCTTCCACCCCAGGTGCATCGCCGCGTGGTTCCACAAGGCGTCGACGTGCCCGGTATGCCGGCGCGATCATTTGCAGTATCTCCCGCCAGATTACCGGGATCTCCATGACTCGATGGCCTTTGATCCTGACAGTTTGCCAGACTATTTGTAGTAGTCGTTTGATTCGTTGTCGTATGATTCAGGCATGTGATTTACTACCAACAACCGTGACACTAACTTATATACATCTGATTTGAGTTTGAGGTATCATGTTCAATTCCAATATAATTCAAACAAGAAGTCAAGAATATGCTACTGTCTGTGTATGATCCTCGCTAGAGCTTCCAGTAGAGGCGAGCGCGGTGGAGGACGCCGGAGACGAGCGCCCAGAAGAGGATCTGGGCGAAGAGAACGTAGAGGAGGATGCCCACCCTGGTGGAGTGCCACACCTTCACGAACACGTGCTTCCTCACCCAGTAAACCTGCAGCAAACCAACCAACACAAAGCTTCTGATGTCAGTTGCATGCTCTCGTCAACTCAACTGAAGAAATCCAGTAGCTTTTATTTACCAGAGTGTTGTTGGTGCCCTCGTAGTACCACCCGATGAGGAACCCCTCGAAGATGCCTTCCGCGGCCATCACATACACCAGCATCGCGTTCATGCCGATCCACTGCAGCGGCGCGAAGACGTAGCGCAGGCTCAGGATGTCAACCTGTAAGCAAGGCATTTTTCCATGTTTTTTCTAAGCAATCTTGAATCTTCAGACACAAAAATGTACGGAATCATGGATAAGGCATTTACCAAGAAGTAGAGCACGGAGAACACGACTCCAGCAGCGCCGGCGGTGACGCAGATGTAACTGAATGTGTAGAGCTGCTTGTTAAGTGGGATTGCTGCAAGGAAACGTGTAAAAAAGCTGCTTGTCAAGCAGAATTCAGATGAGCTAATGCTAACTCATATGGAAGATGACACTTAAGAGTCATCTGCATGCTTTTTATTATACCATGTGAAAAGTGTAGAATGATTCCGAGAACAAGAAGAGCTATGCCCATGGTAACCCACTGCCTCAGCCTGTCTGTATGACTCTGGAATTTCAGAAACAACACGTCACTATGTCAGTATGCGTGTTGCGATCTCTGCTTTCTGACACCACACCGTAATAGAGCTGAAAACGAGAGATAATAATAGCATCACCTTCATATGGACAAGCACATGCCCGTAGTGAACACCGATGATTGTACTCAGCACCGCAGAAAGTGAGCTGCGGAATCAACAAAAGCAATACTGTTAGCTGAATTGGTAGACGAGGAATCCAATTCAGTAGGCCAATTCAGGCAGATTTACCCTTCACATTTAGTTACTACTTACTACCGCTACTGTAAGAACTTAACTTTGAATATGACACGGTGAACAGATGTAGCATGACAGGTACCTTAGTATCCCTTCAGGTTCGAATGGTGCAACACACCATGCCGGGGCATCGTTTCTGAAAGGACCCTCATGTGGGGAATCATCAGTGCAGGCCTGCATGGACCACCATAGTACTACTGAATTAAGCACTGAAAATAACAGTAGGCACCAGCAAAGCTTTGTTTTGTCAGAGAATACAAACCCTGTGCCTTCTCCATGCTGGTTTCTGGTACATGTGATTGATGCCAAGGATTTTGCGGTCAATGTAGCCTACAGCGTTGCAAGGAGGGTCTAATACCCCCCTTGTACCACACGTCACCTAGACATTAGGGAACAATGCAGATGAGTCAGACTCATAGTACTATTTCACAAAAGAAAAAAAAAACAGTAACAATTAGCTACTTCAGCAGTACTTTTCAGTAAACGAACAGTGTTTTCCTCTCACAACAAATCAGCATAAACCAAATTTCAGCGAAATGAAAGCGTGAGAAATAAAGTGACCGGAGGAACCACGTACCGTCAAAACTTTCCCATAGTTTGGGCTATCAACATTTCGCACTCTGAACTCCCAGTCAGGAACATAAATCCCATACACAAGGGCCAGGTAGATCACTAGGATGCAGCATGCAACAATCCTTGCAAATGCACACACACAGCACGCTGTCAGCGTGTCGAAATGAAACCTTTCGGAACTTGAAAGAAAAATCAAACCTTGCATACCATTGGGAGAAATACATTCTGAATATAGAGAAGCCTGAACTTGACTGATCCTGAATCTTTGCATCTTTTGTGACAATCTCTAGAACTGCAACCACTAAATACGCAAGAGCGATCCTCTGGAGGAGCAAGAACCGAATTATTTTGAATAGCACACCACACATCCCCCATTTTTTTTCTCAGGTTCAGAGATGAGGAAAAATATTAGTATTCAGATTCGCACCTGGAGGATTCCACCCCATCTTACGTGCTTCATGTCGGCTCCATAAGTCAGTTCGTCCGGAGCATGGGAGTAACCTCCTGAACACAAAACACATTCACCATTGCTAATCAGCTTTTTTGCACGAGCCTATAGACTTGCAAAACACATTCAGGATTCGAAGCGCAGGCGGATATATACAGCAGAATAACCTTGCAACAGGATGCCCCAGAACAGCAGCTTCAGTGTTCTTATGACTACTCTTCTCACGGCTCGGCCACGGTCCGGGATCCTCTGTTACATTTATGATTTGTCCCAAGACAAGAAAAAGGTTAGGCCAACGAATACGAAACAGTGACATCAGTAAGCAGCTTTCAGTTTGCGTTTCAGTTGATCGGTGTCGAATTCAGACTTGACCGATGGCATCGTGGCGTGTAAGAGAAAGTGTGGAAGGGACCCTAATTGATGCAGACATGGATGAACGTGAGACAAACAGCATGGATGGGATGGACGGACGGACCTTGAGGGAGAGGGGAATGGCCATGCCGACGATGAAGAGGAAGAAGGGCATGGCGAAGTCCGCGAGGTTGCAGCCGTTCCACGGCGCGTGCCCGATGACCGGCCACTCGCCGCCGGCGCCGTCCACCAGTATCATCAGCTGCATATAAACGAGCACACCGCGCGCGCGCCGGTACGTTATGCACAGACACAGAACACTGGCAAGTGACAGACAACTCAGCACTCCCTGATCTCTCGAGTGCTGAAGCATTCAGGCACCCAGATTTGCAATACGAATTCTCAGTTTATGAGTCCTATCAGTAAGGAATATAGTAGCAACCAGGGGGAGAGAGAAACAAAATCCAAACATCTGCATCCCCACCGCTCAATCCCTGGTTTGCAATTGTGAACAACTTCAGAAACCTTATTCCTACTGCTCCTAATAATTTGGCTGCCATGGTCCATGAGAGAGGCACTTACCGCGACGGTGAGGCCGCGGAAGACGTCGAGGGAAGCAACCCGCCTGCTCCGGCGAGGCGCCTTCTCGTTGTCATCGGCATCATCCGTGCCCGGACCGCCGCGACGGGCGGGGTCCTCCTCCGCGACGTCGCCGTGCGCCTTGAGCTCAACCACCTTTTTGCTGCTCCCGTCCATGGACGCTCGTGCAAGTAGCCAAAACCTGCGTGACGCAGACGGGGGTCACGGGTGTATGGATAAGAGACGGGAGGAGGATTCCGATTCCTTGAAGCAACCGTCCATGTTGCTGCTCGTGTTGGTTCTCACTTCTCACTCTTACACGGCGAATGATTGAACCCACTGGCAGTTGGGCAGTGACAGGCTGACAATCTGACAGGCGGGGGAACGAACGAACGAACGTGCCTCGGACTGTTTTTCTCTTCTTTTGGAAGGTTGCTCGGCTAAGGACGATTCTGACGTCGTTTTCCGATGGATGGATGCGACAGATTTGGGGATGGAGAGAAGCTTGGCCCTTGTGTAGTTACACCAGAATCCACACTTTGGTACTATACAAAAAGATTTATCGTCACATTAAACTTGGGATACATGGAGTACTAAATGTTGATGAAATCAAAAACTAATTGCACAGTTTGGTTGTACTTTGCGTGACAAACGTTTTGAGCCTAATTAGTCAACGATTGAACAATTATTATCAAATACAAACGAAATGCTACAGTGCGCTACAGTAACGCAGAATTCAGCCGGCGCCAATTCGGCCGGAAACGGGCCTTGAGCTCGGTGCCCATCTGTCTCTGACCCGTCTGACCCCATCTTAGGAGTCCCTCCGTTCCCTAGTAGACACTGAAACTTCAGCGAATAGATAAAAAAAAAACTCAGATCCGCGGGGAATGACGTCACCACCGGATTTTCATTAATAAAAAGATCTTTGTGAGACGGAACGGCCATAGATCTGTACTTAAGCATGAAACAGACGAGGGGATTTTTTTTTACCGTGAGGCCTCACCTTGAGGGGGATCGAACTCATGACCTCAGGGGTGCCGCAGGAAGCTTCGACCAACCGGTCTAGCTTCCGTTGGCTAGCGCAGTGAATAGATTCTGAAATTTATCAGTCGGCTTATCAGCTGAATCTATAGTATTTCTCTCTCTCCTTTGGGCCTGTTCGCTTAAACTTATCAGCTATATCTACAGTATTTTTCTCTCACAACAAAATAGCTTCGGCCGATTTATCAGTCGACTTTAATACCAGATTATTCCGGCTTGTCTATTTATGATCCTGACTTTTCGCCCCTGTTCATATATCTGCTGCTGCTCCATGTGTCCAGAATCTTTTCAAGTTTTGCTTGATGTTATGACACCACACCAGTAAGCCATGTGAATTGATATGTTATTTTTTTTCTTGTAATAACACGAAGGGATAAACAGAACTAACCATGCGAGATAGCATGGTGTAGAAACAAACGAATGAGCAAAGCAAACAAACAAACTCGGCCGCGGCAGCAGCAGCAGCGACAAACTAGCAAAAAGGCTAGGCTAGTTCAGTCACTCACTCACGCAGCGCTACTTCTGAACCGAACCGGAAGACGAGCCCAAACAACGCAGCAACGTATGCGTGGCTACTGCGAGGAGGAGGAGGCGGTGATCTTGGCAACGGCCTGCGCGGAGATGGGCGGGAGGCTGAGCGAGCAGAGGCTCTCCCAGGATGCGGTCGCGTCGTCCTCCTGTCCGCTCGCGGCGGCATCCTTGGCGAAGGCCGCGTGCATCGACGCCACCACGCCGCGGGCGGCCTCCCTCGCCTCCGGAAGCCGGTCGTTCAGCAGCTCCGCCGCCACCTGCAGCAGGGTCGACATCCCGAACTCCTTCATTGCCTCGATGTCCTGCACATGCCAACAAAGGGAATTCTGAGTCTCTGAAATCGAGCCATATATGCCATATATCAGCATGTACTGAGCGCAGCTGCTCCTGGGCGTCAGGGCGTGGCGTACCATCCGGGCGGCGCAGTGGGAGATGGCGACGGCGGCCTTGGCCCTGACCCTGAGGTTGGCGTGGTGGACGTACGCCTTGAGCTTCTTCAGCAGCGGCAGCGGCGGCATCGACGCCGCCATCGCGCGCATCGCCTTCTCGGCCTCCTCGCACACGAACCGCTTGTCCTGGGATGCCTTCAGGAGGAGCTGGAGCAGCTGCCAACGGAGACGAACTCGTCAGTCAGCAGCTGCGAACTGGGATCTGTAACTGTCCCTTGAGGGTGGGGGTGCAAGCGCGACACGGCACGTACCAGCTTGTCGAAGGCGTCGTCGGAGACGGAGGAGAGGAGGTTGCCGAAGGTGCTGAAGATGTCGGCGCACGCCATGATGGACGTCTTGAGCACCGCGCTGCGGGGACTCTTCATCGTCTTCACGACGGCCAGCACCACCTTCTCTCTGCCGCCGGATCAGCCACGCGAATTAAACCGGGTGACAAAAAAGTTCCCGAAATCGAAATCGGACGAGAATGTAACAACAGCAAATCAAACTCACAGGATCGGGCTCAGCAGCGCGGGGTGGTGGATCGCGAGGCGGCGCGCGTCGTTGAGCGCCTCGCAGGTCCTGACCCAGTCCTTGGAGTCCAGGTCCGCGACCAGCCCCGCGGCCTTGGCCTTGGGGCTGGCCGCCGCCGTCAGCTCCTCCGACGGGATGTACTCCACGGCCTGCTCCGCCGCCGCGGCCGTGGCCCTGGGCGCCGCGTTCTCGTCGTTCCCCTTCTTCTTGTTCTTGCCGCCGCTCCCGGGCGAGGCGGCCTTGACGGCAGCGGCGGGGACGCCCACCTTAGCCACCTTCTTGGGCCGCTCCTCAACGGCCGCGGGCATCGTGTTGTCTAGCGCGCGGAGGGCCATGGGTCGCTGTCGCGTTCGCCAGAGGCTTATGCTGTTCTTGGAATGGTACTCGAGGATGGGTGGCGGCGGCGATTGATGCGAGTGGAGAATGGGGAATGGAGAAGATGAGGCGGAGTTGGAAATTTTAAATGCGGAGGGTGGGGAATGGACGGCTGTGTCTAACGGCTATAAAACGTTCAAACTCGCGGGTGAACGTTGGGAGCTTGTGATTGTGAATGCTGCTGCCTTTCCACCGTTGCCATAAATTCTGGTAAATAAACGATTTTTTTAAAAATAAAAGGAAAACATGCAAAAGTACCGTTGCCATAAATTCTGGTAAATAAATGATTTTAAAATTAAAGAAAAACAAGCAAAAGTACAAGGTTGAGTTGTGGCCCATGAGTTGTGCAGTTTTTGGTCTATTTGAATTCATGCCTAGCGTTGCTGAACCGCTCAAAAAGTAAAGACATGAACAGTCACGAAAGCTCCGGTTAATGAAAAACTTTTCGTACCTCCGTTCCTCTTAATGAAAAAAAAATCCCTCTCGATCAATGTAAATAAAACGTGCCAAATGTGTCGCAACAACACGGTGGTAGAAGATGAACAGTGACGAAACTTCAGAATTTTGAAGCCCCGTTCGCTTCTCTGAAAAAAAAAAGTTGAAATATTGTTCCGACTGATTTATTGTGGGAGAGAAAAACATTATTCCAGCTAAAAAGACAAGCCAAAAAATATAGATTATAAGACAAGCAACAGGGCCTTGGGAACAGCCTCTAGTGTAGCGTTTTCGGTAGATGACGATGATCAGCTACACGTGTACCAAAACCTCAAGGTCTCCTATAACTTGAAATACCGTGTGCCCATTCCTCTAGTGTAGATGGAGGATGACATGGACATTTACCTAAAGTACAATCATACGCCTAGAGCCCAAGTGGCACTTACCACCTCTGTAAGAAATTGTACAGTCCATACATAACCCTAATTCCAATTTTCACAAACTCCATGAAGGAGAGAAACTGGAATCTATCAAAACTGTCCACAACTTATGTACAAAGGGAGGGTGTGGTGGCCTCAGTCAAGCAGTGCTCCATCGGTGTGCAGCATTGTTGGCATGAGAAATCCACCAGGTGTTCAGAGTAGTAGCCGACTGTTGGAGTTCCCTGTAACCTTCCTCTAAGAACATGCCATTCTTGATCAGGCCACGCGCAGCAAACCCCATGAGCTCAGAAGGATCCACGTGACGCTGGAACCAGTGTGGAACAGCAACGTTGTAAGAGATCGCTGCACTTGGGGCTGGAGACGCGCTTCGTTCCACTTCCAGGTGTGGTTCAGGCTCTGCTTCCAGTGATGGCACTTGGACAGCTGAAGGTTCTGATGACAACATGGAACTCCCTATGCCAAACCCTTCCCAATCGACCTGCTGCCACAGCCGGTATCCATCATCACTCACGTTGTGGTTTTGGAGTTCAGATCGCTGCTCTGCAGCCAGTCTGTCAACTTCTACCTTGAGTTCCTGCAATCGCTGCCCAATTCTTTCTGTTGCTTTGTCGTACAAGATCCCTCTAGAGATGTGTTGGGTGTCATCACAGTTGTCAATTAGCAGGTCATCAAAGTTGATTGGGTCACCCACAACCACAATCACCTAGAAAATCAAATAAATGATTTAGCAAATATTTTATGACAGCATTTGATGCGTCGTGTAGGTTTAGGGGCACACACCCTTTTCCCTGCTCTGGGGATGCGTTTTCCAACAGGCATTATATCCTGCATCCCAGTATGGACAAAGGGTATTACAACCGGAAGGCTGTCAGCATCCATTACCAATCTGGTAAAACAAGAGGCAATCAAACTGAGCAAAACTCAAAACTGATCATCAATAAGAACCTTAAAACACAAGTCTATAATATGCATGCATAAGCAGAGTGCAGGTTGTGCTATGCAGACAGAAGCAAACTGATGGCGGTAGGTGGTCCAGTATTCTTTAGAAAAAGAAAAGGACAGTATAGGAAGGAAATAATTTTCTAACCTTCCAACACCTCTCTTGGCAGGAGCAATGGTTTTCCCTCCATCCCTTGAACGGCTTCCTTCAGGAAATATATGAACCCATCCACCACTGTTAAGCTTTGAAAGTGCCATATCCATTCCCTGAACAAAGAAAAAAAAAAGGTCTACGAGTGAAGAGCACATCCAGTGATGCATCCAATTCAATAGTCCAAATGTAATACATCAAACTCCACGATTTTAGATCAGAAAAAGATGACTTATGATATTCAAAGCATAAAGGCATTAACATTGTATAACTGGGAAGAGGGCAAAAGGAAGTGCATAAACCCATGCAGCAAGGAATACCAATATATAAATACCTTAAGTTTGACTATATAGTACTTTAACTACCAGAGACTTTGTTATGCTTGTCATCCAATTACTTCCACTAAACCAAGGAATTCTCTAAGAATAATTCTCAAATCCTCATCTGCTAATTGTTTAAAAAAAATAGCACACCTCCGCCTGTTGCAAATTTCCTATTCAAAATGTTGCAAAGCCTAGTGTTGAAATTCATTATGTATTGCCACCATTATTCCCCAGAAGTATGCGGGGAAAAATGACAAGTGAAGGCACATAAGAGTATCTCTGCCCTTTGCAATTTCACCATGAGGTCACGGGTTCAAGTCCTGGAAACAGCCTCTTGCAGAAATGCAGGGAAAGGCTGCGTACAAAAGACCCAAGTGGTCGGACCCTTCCCCTGACCCTGCGCAAGCGGGAGCTACATGCACTGGGGCTGCCCTTTACACTACTCACTAAATTAAAATACTGATGCTTTCACAATATGAATCGTGCAGATAAATCGGTTCATCAACATTAAAAACTTTAGACCATACAGTCAAATACTTGATAACAATAAGATGAATACCTTTTGGTAGATGCCTTCACCACGAGAAACAGGTAACACCTTAACAGACCTGAAGAATGTAGACAAAACTGGATTTGTAAAGCAACGATCAGTCGCACACAGTGTCCATCTCAGCTTTTGTGCTTCCAGCATAACAGATGGTGGGAGAAGGGAGGCAATTACGAAGGGGTCATCCATTGCTGCCACATGATTGCTGACCTGAAAATGAAAATTACAAAGATAAAACAATACATGACTAGAAGCACAGCTGAAAACCTTTAGATTTACAAGCTACATCCCAACGATACGCATAAGAGTAATGTGTTGCAATAAAGATAGTCCATACCGTTAGAAGAGCCTTGCCTTTAGGTCTCCATTGTAATGCCTGATGAAGCTTCTCTGCACCATAAACCTGCACATCCTCAGAGTTTTGAGAAAACAAAACAACTAGACCAGAGTACTCAAGTGTTCTCTTGTTAGCTAGGATACCTGAACAGAGTTAAGGCCATGCATAAAAACATAGCATGCATTGCCAATAAGAGGAACAGCCAATGCTTGAAGCGAACGGAAAATAATGGAGTCTTCAATCCCATTAACTTCTTTGCCCACTGATAAATAACAAATAACTCATCAGTACGATAACCTTTTATTTTTATCATGAGATCATAATCGAAGCTTAAACATAAGTTGTAGCAACCAGATTTTGCGTAGGTGCAGTTCCAATAGTGAAACTGATACTAAATGTTCAAAGAAGCTGTAAACATTTACGTCCAGCGACCATTACAATACTGAAGTGGGCACACTAGCGTCATGACGAACCAACAGCTGTGATATTAACTCACAGGTGCAAAACTGCCGCACACCACATTTGAACCAAACTGGTGCAAAAAAAAAACTTATTTATACCTCTCTTCCTGTAGAATCTCAAAGCACTGGACGAAGGCTTTGCCGCCGCCTCAGGAGACGTGTCTGTCGATGTGGAGCTCCAATTCCCGCCCCGGTCCCTCTGCAGCAGGGCCCGAACGCGATCCGACCACCGCCGGACCGCCTCCGTGGCGACACGGCCGTCCGCCCGAAGCCACAGCGATCGGTGGTCCACGGGCGCCACGCGGAACCTGTTGCGGATCTGCGTCCCCACCACCCGCGCGCGCTCCGCCCACGGAACCCCACCGCCGGCCGCCATTGGGGGCTAGGGTTAGGGTTTGAGTACGGCTCCAGCACTGGAGGTCACCTGGGTTTAGCTGCTGACCTTCCAGAGGCGTCGACAAGAGATTATTTTAGAGCTTAGAGCTTGCGATTGCTGCTGCGTGAAATCGAATCAAGCGAAATTTTACGAGCCTTTTACACGTGCCATTACCAAAGATGTTCCATATCCACGTGCCACTCAAAAGTTTTTGAACGCCCTCGGATGTCATGGCGCTAAACTTTCTTATCTTTCACGCATATTACGTCCACCTTCGGTTAGGTTTCCACCGTTGGACAGCCCTGATATGCGGGTCCGATTAGTGACGATGCATTGAATACCCTTCTTTCTCTAGCCGGTAGGGCTAAGCCTTAAGTGACCTAGTCACCGTCTTCCTCATCATCATGTCATCTTCCTCTACCTCCATCTTATCCAAAAACATGACTACGATAGTGGCTCGGCAGGCGTGGCCTGCGCGAGCGTCAGCGCGTGGCCGACCTCGAGGGCAGCGACATATGCGCGCGGCGAGGCGAGTCCACCCCGAGCTCAACGTTGGACGCGCGTAGCTCGCCGCCGACCGTGTGTGGCTCCTCGGCTCCAGTCGTGCCCCGCTGCCGGTGCCCGCTGCCCGCGCGACCACGCCGCCAGAGCCTGCGCGGACTTCGCCACGGACCTCACCCAGCTCCGCCGCGGTTGCGGCGTCTCGGTCACGCACCCCACCGCCGCCCGTGCGCCCCGCCGCCAGCTGCGCGCCCCCCACCACCACGTGCTCCGGCCAGTCTGGACGAGCGAGCGAGTGAAGCCGCCGCAGCCACGCAACAGGGAGAGGAGAGAGAGCAAAGTCACGGGGCACGACAGCACCGCTGCAACCACCATGGCAGCTCTCTGGAGCTTTACCATTTTCTAATCCAAGACCATGGGGAGGGAGAGGAGGGCAAGGGGGTTCCGATGGACTACTTACCTTGGTCGATTACAGCTCAGGGACAGAGATCGACAGAGCGTCGCCGCAACCACCATGGCCGGCGAACAGAACTCGCAGCGCCGCCGTGTTCCACTGCCTGCAGCCGTCCTCGGCCCCAACCAAAACCGCTGCCGGCTCTGCCTTCTTTGTAACACCTCGGGTGTTAGCTTTGCATAACTTGACTTGCATAACATGAGCATGAGCATCAAGCATTCATAAATCATCATTTCAATTGAAACATTCGATCGAAACATATGAAACATTGCTTGTTATCTCGTATTTCTTGGAACATATGCATATGATCATGTGCAAATGAATGCAAGTAGGGAATGTTGGTCACTAAAACACTTTAGCTACACTTAGGTTAACAAAAGGAACATTGTTCATGAAGGCCACATTTCATGATCAAGCACTTAAGTGATATTTCATGTGTTGACCTGAATAGCTATATGAGTGACTACTACATGAAATGCTTAAATGACCTTGCAAATTGTTTAAACATGCTTAGGATATCATTAGGAACAACTTTGGTATTTAGTGCTAAGGCTAGTTTGGTCATTTAGCCATGGTTTGTGTATGTATCATGATTTCAAAGTGACATGTTTGACTAAAGTTGAACTAGGTGTTAGGGACCTTGCATGGAGGAGTTCACTAAAGCAAAGTTGTAGTGTTTGACATAAGGAACAACTTTGATTTTGGGTCTTTGACTGATTCAGCTCCTAACCTGCTTGAATTTGGATTTCAAAATCATCGAATCTTTGTTTTCAACACTTAAGCAATTTTTCTAAGTCTAGGTTCATTAACACTGACAGCCCATCTTGGGGATGACATTACTTGTTTTTGGTTGCGAATTTGAACATACTCCCTTAACCAAAGTTGAAGCTGGTGCATAGGGCTATAAATTTTGTTTAGACGCGTCTTATGCTTTGGAGCAACGGATTAGCGGGAAAATCAGCGATAAAACCCGTCGTCGAGCAATTTGCAGTTCATCGACGAACCGAACGACGCGTTCGATGGCCGATAATTAACGGTAGAACCAGCGCGTGTCCGGCTGACGGCCGCCAAGCGTCGCCGCTCTCTGCTTGCCTGGCCAGCCACAGCCACGACGCTACTGGCGCGCCTTCATCACCGCCAAGACCGCCCGAAGTCGCCTCAAGGCCCCATTTCTTCTGGCGTCCCTTCTTCCTCACTGATGCGGCTGAAGCGCTTGCAGCTCCGCTGTCGCCATAGCTGCAGCAGCGACCGCGCTTAGCCACCCCAAAGACCACCACCAAGCTTCACCGTCTTCTCGGCGACCCACCGCTCCCTTCCGTGCTCACCGACCAAGCTTGGTAAGCCCATTGTAGCGTTTAAGCTCGCGGGAGCTCCGCCAGAAGCCCTGGCCACTGTGGCGGGCGCCCCACCACCACCTCTCCATGCGTTAGCTAGTGCGCCGAAAGTCGTCTTAGGTAGCTTATGCTCGTCCAAGCCTTAGATCGGACCACGGGGTCGTCGTCACCGCGATTGCCGTGGTCCAGCCTCCGCCGTTCGCCATGGCGCCGCCGATAGCTCTAGGGTCGGCAATAGGACCCGGCCAAGTGGCTCGAAGAGGGTTCGCTGGTCACGTAGGTCATACCACGATGACCTCACTCACGGCCGTGGCTTCGCCGTCGACGAGCCGCATGACATGCGCGTTGCCAAGCAAGCGCTGGCTGCTGCTCTGCTCCGTGTCACTGACGTGGGGTCCCCCGACCAGTGGGTCCCACCTGTCAATGACAAAGCAGATAGTGAAGGCTAACCCATTTTAATCCAGCTTTTTGATTTGTTTTGTGAAATTTGTATCTTCAGTTTGGTAGCTCCAAAAATTGTGAAATAAATATGGTTGTGTTCCTTAGGAAATGTAGTTTTTTTAAGAAAAATATGTTCTTGGGTTCAACAGTAGAATTTTCTGGAGATTTAAATAGGGATTTGAAATGTGCTTTTGAATACATTCAAATTTGTTTATTTTATATCTAGAGTTCCTGTGCTCCAAAAATTATGAAATTTTTGTGGTGAACTAATCTTAGCATATGTGAGCCCTGGTAAAAATTTGAGGACCAGTGCATGGGTAGATTTAAAGTTATAGATTTTTCTTTTATGACTAGTTAATCCTTGCATGAATTTTCATAAATTAAGTATGAGTCCAAAATTCATGAAATTTGTTGGAGGTAATCCTAGTACCATATGGATGCTAAGAAAATATGAAATCTGTTGCTTGACACTTTTCAATAGGATTTTCCATTTATGCTATTTCAAGCCTTGCTTTGCCTTGTCATTTTGTATAGAATGTTCTACTTGGTAAAATGACATGAAATTTTTACAGTAGTCTCTCGATAGCATTAGTAAAGCTCTGTAAATTTTTGAGAATTTATTAAGCACATCTGATATATATTTATTATTTAACCTAGATATCTAAATAAAATAATAAAGGCAATTTAATAAATAGTTTGGGCTTTACCATTATATCATCTTAACTGTATTTGGTATGCTTAAACTATTGGTAGGTTCTAGGTTGTCAAATTTTGAATGATTACCTGAAGTAGAAGTATTCTTACTTTATGTTGCATGTTAAGTCATTTCCGGACTGATTCTAGAGTGTGAGGATTTGCATGTTGAAACTGATGTGTACTGTCAAAATGGTTAATAACAAAGTTGTAGAAAATTTGATAAGCTTTCCAGAAAGTCCAGGATCACTGGATTTGGATTTGTAGAACTCAGTTATGAGCGAAACAAGTAGCTCTTGTTTGTGGCATAGTCGATGCATTATAGAAGTAGTTAAGTAATAATCGAGAAGAGATATGCACCTACTCAAACAACGTGATGCACTTGTTAACATATATGCATTCGTAATACTTATACCATACTCATGCATCTAGGATCGGAGGAAGAGATCACGTTGTTGGAATTGAAGAAGCAGAGGAAGGAACCCGCAGGAGGATCCCGCAAGCGCGCAGCTCCGAAGGCGTGGAGCAGAACCTGAAGAGCTTCCGGAGTGCCCCGACCATCGCCCTACTTCCTTTCTGCGAGGCAAGCCGGAGCATTATAAGTCTCCCAAGAATTTATAAATGTTTATTTAAGTACTTATGATTCTTTGCATTAGGTTATAAGAGTTGAATGAAACCACTTGATGCATGTACATTCCTTGTCCGGATATTACACCTTTAACCCCGGTATAGGTCCGAGGATCGAATATATGCTTAGCCATGCTTAGACCCGTAGAAGTCGGGTGATTTTCTCACTGCGAGATATAGGTGGATACCTAGGAGCACGGTTGGTTATAATTGCTATCGTGGAAAAGAACCATGGTTAATGTAAATGGAGACCCAAGGCGGGATGTCGATAGAAAAGCAACAAGGCATGGAGGTCTTGGGTGTGGATCTATCCTCGTCTGTGTCGATCAAGGACCGCACCGTTGTTGGAACTTCCGACAAGATTGAACGCATGCCTCTCACTTAGCTGGCGGATAATTCGTTCCGACCATGGCGAGTAATTCAACTCGGTGCCGGAATCGTTTCATAGCGCGCCTTCCGGGAACGATCGACCGAGCCCAAAAGGCGTGCTTGGCTCGAGCATCCCGGCATCTGGTGTTCCAGACATGCTGGTGCGCAAGACGGACCCTTGAAATGTGTACGAGAGTTGTATCAAAGGTGACCTAAGGCTATCGTGGTCGGTAGACTGGGTTTGTGTTAGGAATAAATCCCGGTGGTTGAAATCGATTGAATCGCCGCCTCTCCCGGATAGTGAGAAACTTGGCTAGCTCCAACATCGTAGTAATCGTATTATGGAACATGATGGTTCGGATGAAAATGGAATTGCAATACTGCTATGGTTACTATTGTATGCTTCTAAATGATACCACATGTTTGTACATGGATAGTTGCTAATCTAGAAATGGATAGTTATAATTAACTTGGTAAAGGAATCATAATTGTACAACGGATCGGTTGCCTTTTTTCGCAAAAATGTTGTCAAGTTACGTCCACTTATACTGACCTTGCATACTCCTTGGAGTCATTTTATTTCTGGTTCATGACGGGTAAGTCTAGTGAGTACCTTCTCGTACTCGTGGTTTATTTTCCCATTGTTGCAGATGGCATCGTGTATCATGGTTATTGCAAGAGTTGCTTCTATCCCATTGTGGATGAGGAGTAAGCCTTGGGCGTGCTTCTTTAGTAATTCCTATCCTTGCTTTTGTGGACCGTGATCTAGCTTGGCAATCGTATCAAACTATGTTGGAAACTTTATCTTGAACTTATTTGCTTCCGCTTTATTTATCAAACTCGGTTTGTAATAACTTTTATTCGTACTCGATGATGAAAAGTATCTCGTGAACTTTATGTAATATGTGGCATGTATGTTGAATCCGTACGATCTTGGTTGTTGTAAATCGTTTATCGAGACCCGTCGTGGTACTCGACGGACTACCGGGTTTATATGGGTTCAAGTATGGCGGCGACCGCCATGCGGATTGCCATTGTACTTGTATTCTTATAAATTGGTCGGTTCTGCGACATTCTTCTCCTCTGCGCATGTGCCGCTCAGTTCCCCAGGTCGTGGTCGCCGCCATGGACCATCGCCGCCGGAGCCACCGCCGCGCATGCTTGTGGTGCCCAGTGCTCGCGCACCACAACGTCGCGGCAGTGAGCTAACAAGCGGAGGATCGTCTTTGTGGACGTGGTGGAAGGAGCGAGGTTACAGGTGCCCAACGCCCTCACCGGTCAGCTCTTTAGCTACGTCGCGCCGCCCAGAGAGCTGCTCGCATGCTGTGACCCTCATGATCACCGTCGCCGCCCCGTCCGGCAATGCTGCTACCGCTTTCGTCTTCTTTGGTCGCGCGTGCCACGCGTCACCGTCTCCTCCTGTGCGTTCCACCTCGCCATGTCGCACGCCCTCTACGCAGCCCGGCGACAAAGTGTTATGATGGGCTCATTGTCGGACCCGGGTGGCGTAGCCACGTCGTCGGGGCGACATCATGGGAAGCCCGCATGGCGGGCGGCGCAGTGGCCGCGTGGTCGGACGCGCGTTCCGGATGGCTCCGTGGTGTACGTTAGCTTCGGGACGTAGCAGGCGCGGTCACCGATGCAGGCGGCTCCCGTGTCGGAGCTGCCGCGTTCGTGTGGGCTCGGCTGCGTTCGTGTGGGCTCGGCGGAGCTGTTGCCGGACGTCTTCGGGCGCGTGAGCCTTGGCAGATCGTGGTGGGCGAGCGAGGACGAACGCGGCGTCGTCTTGGTTGTTGATCTCGCGGTGGGCGCTGCGGTGGAGTCTTTGCGCCCACGCTGGCCGTGGGCTGGAACTCGGTGCTGGAGGTGGCCGCCGACCAGTTCACAGACGCACGGTAGCACAGAGGCACGCGGATCTGTGCAGAAGCTGCCCAGCCTGATCGATAGAGGAGAGGGAGAAAATAAAATAAGTGAGGAAGAAAATAAAATGAGAAAAATAAATTCATGAGGACATTTTAGACTTTTTTCGCTACAATTTGATATCATTAGAGACAAATATGGACGTAATGGCGTGGAAAGTAAGAAAATTTAGCATCAAACTTTTTATCGCGGTCTCGGGGAGGAAGGAAGAAGGCGGGGGAGAGAAAGGTGGTGGGACCCTGGTGCAGAGGACGAGAGTCACCGGAAAATATCAGGGTGGGTCCAGCCTGATGCAATAGTTGGGCCCGGTGACAGTGAGAGGATGGAGCCGAGTTGTGATTGGATACGGACTACTAGCTCACAAAAGCGTCGGCGTAGGGTCCCAGGAGGCCAGGAGCTGATGGTGGCTCTTCATCTAGAAACATCCGAATGCATCCAAAACGGCCAAGGAAATGCAAGAGATTTTTGCAATCATGCGCTTCGACAAAGTTGGTGATCAGATGCCCAAACATCAGAATAGATTGGGGGCATATGGATTCCTAAACTATGAGCAATAAGTTCACACATATGGACATATCCAGCTGCAAAATGCAGGGGAAAACAATATCACACCTCGTTACAGAATAATTTGAACTGAATACATGCGACTTTGAGGTGACAAAATTAGGGCATGGAATCATGCAAAATTATGCAAGTTTAGCTCAATTCCGAAGCGATATGGTCCAAATCAGATCAGAATCTGAAGTCACGGTTACTTTATCGTCATCCACGATGTTAGATGTGCTTATCAATCCACCATACCTCATGCTCGTATTATCTGAAGAGGAAGTGAAGTATAACGATTTTAGACGTTGCCATACAACTATACAAGAAAAAGGATTTATAGGGTGTGATGGTTTTACCTAAATTCCACCGGAGCCCAGTGGTTGTGGTGATAGCTGACGGTCCGCCCATGGGAATCAAACCACAGTGAGGACCTTCAACCGATTTCTCAATATGGATCTCGTGAGAGTGTGTCTTGGGGAGCAGAAAGATTGAACAGTCATCTGATAGGAGGATGATCTTGATGTTTGAAAAGCGGTATAATACATTGATGTTCCCCATCTCATGATCGAACCTTCCACCGAAAGTGCACCAAGAACAAGAATACACAGCTGCAGTTAGAGAAATCACAGTAAAATCTGTTAAGCTGACATTGCATAGTTATAATGGATGTTTTTCTGATCAATTTAAATAGACTACATTAGACTTCTCTGGGATAGGGAGATTGCTTGTGATAAATGATACACATTTGTGCAAGTCAGTTGTGTCCTGATCATGTGATTCATCAACTATGTTTGTGCCCTGCAATCAATCAAACAAGAGTATCAACAAGTCACTCCAGTCCCAGTCGACAAAAGAACTTCCAGTATGAAGGCAGTATCAAGGGTGCAGGAACAGGAGGCAGAATCTTAAAAGCAGCGTGTGCACACTCAATTTACCAATGGCTTCTATGAATTTTCTCCAAAGGCAGTAAATCAGAAACAAAATACAGGGGATATCAAAGTGCCTAATTTCTTAGCCCATGACCTTCCCAAGGATATTCAAAGTACATGAATAACAGAGGTGCGGTATTCAAAGTACAATCAACAAATGAAACAATAGAGCATTATGTTTGCATGTCTACTTCTTTTTCTCTCGATACAGATTCTCTGGACAAGAATCTAAAACAAAACAAGGCATAGCTTATTCCAGATTAGGAAGTTTGGACAGTTGATATGCCTAACTTATGCAAGTAATTTCAGCATTTCTCTTTCACTCCACATACTACTGTAATTAATAAAGCAATCGTAACAAACACTTCAGTTACAAACGTAGGTCATCTAGGACATTGACACGGTCCTAATTGTGACATTTTGACTTGTGATTTGTAAGAACATATGTAACTCAAATAAAAAAAATATATGCTATATATTTTTTTTTTAAATGTAGGAGTGGAGAGAGCCCTGGCCTTTTGAGAAGTCTTAAATATTGCTACCTGCTGGAACCAAACTCACAACCTCATGGAGCAGCACTCCAACCTGCCTCCTGTGACCAGCTAGCCACATAACCTTCCCACAATGTAAAGGTATTTTCAATAAAGAATCTAGGAGTACTAATTCTATGTTTTCAATCTATACAATCATTGACATATTGATGGTTGAACTGAATATCTGACAAACAGAGGTTCTACAACAACTTGCATTTGAAATCAGAGGGAGCAGAGATCAAGGTCTGATATCCATCCAGTTTGTTATTGCCAAAAGCAGCAGCCAAAGGAGAACTTCAAACATATTCACGTGGACCCAGATGGCAAAACGTTGATAGCATTATACATGTGCACTCGAACCTGTCCTTGACAGTTGTTAAATGCAGGACGACTATAAGGTTCATGTATGAGCTACCAAGCATTAGCCTGTCATTTTCAACCATGAATGCTAAATATTAAAAATACAGTAGTTACCAAATTGGAATAATACTCCTTCACTTCTGGCCTTATTGAGTCCATGTCCCCTTTAATTACATCTGGCTTGTACCTGCACAAAGATAAGATACATTAAATTAAAACTGCCCTGAATCCTTCCAAACTGTACCAACAAACCAAACTGTATACATCTCATGCCAACTAGTACAGGCATGGTAAACCAACCAATCATGCTCCTTTGGTTGACAGAATATCCCCACATACACAAAATCTTCAGCTGATTTATGGCAAACATAGAGGTTTCTCAAATTGATTAGATTAACAATTTTTCAAATCTGAGAAGAGATGCATAGAGGTTTCTCAAATTTATGGCAAACATAACGATACTCTGAGACACATGTGTGACATGAGAAATCAAGCATAATTTTAACACCACTAGAGATTTTCATTGAACTGAAAGAGCAAGTTACATGTCTTGTACTCCTTATATAAAAGAAAAAAGGGGAAAAAAATAACCGGGCATTCTATGGCAAGATATAGCAACTACAGCACAATGGGGATGACGTCTTCGATTTTATCAAGAATGGAAACGATACCAGCTAAACCATGTACTCCAAAGAAGTGGCAAGGCAGATGCTGCACGCAATAAACATATTTGAGAATCAACTCAACTGGAAACCGGATTCAGCAAGGCACCCCTTGGCGCCATGCGACTATGCGAGCAGCTACATCGCTCTCGCGGCGCATCCGCGCACAATCAGACAAATACAGCAGGACTCGTCGTTGTCTCTGGTGCATTCCATCGACAACATGATGAGCAATTCATCCGACCACACGGCGTGAAGGACGACCAGACGGAAGGAACAGGCGAAGTTGGGATTCGCAATCACCTGGTGCGGACCTCGGCGGGGTCCTCGCCCGGGAGAAGCTCCGGCATGCCGTCGAAGACGCGGTTGGCGCCCCCGTCCGCGCACACGCGCAGGCGCGCTGGCCACGAGCGAAAAAAAAAAACAAGAGCACACGGGTCAGTCAGACTAAGCGGCGGGAACCGATCAGGCGAAGCGGGAGGCGACTAGCAATGGCGAGAGGTGGGGGGCGGGCGAGGGAGAGGGGGCGTCACCGCGGGACCAGAGGAGCGGCGCGAAGCGGGGGAGGCGCTGGTTGAGGACGACGAGCGCGTAGGTCGTCGTGGTGGCGCCGGTGGGGTTGGACGGGGCGGTTGGGGCCGGGAGGAGGTAGGCGGAGGAGTGGGTCATCGCCGGCAGCGGCATGGCGGTCACCGGTGGAGCAGAGGAGTAGCGAGCGGCCTAGCGGGGCGGGGGGACAGATGGGAAAAGAGCTGCGCCCGTGATGGGAAAAGTCTTGTTGTAGGCTTCCGAAGCTCCCAGTCTCAACTCCTGATTCGAGGGGAAAAGAGCACGCAGGCTCAAAAGTTTCTCCTTTTCCTTCGAGAACGACGAACGTGGGACGAGAAGTCAGAGTCCGCTTTTTCCTGCCCCGTCGCTTCGAAGGCGGGGTTGCGTTTCGCTGGTGTGAGATATCTTTTCTCTAGCTATCTGCCTACCCATCTATATATCTATCTATCTATCTACAACTAAAAAATTCCTACAATCAATATCAATCCAACAGAACGATAGGTCGTGCGACCCCGCATCTACCTGACAGGACGAGTACAAGTACGACACCATAGCCTCCGACAATTTCTACCTCACCGAACGGCGAGGGCGGACGAAGGGGCGCATGGGTAGGGCATGCAGGTGCGTGCGGCGGGCCGCCTAGAGATCCATGCGGCTCGCCAGCTCGCAGGCACACTGAGGCAAGGTGTGACAGCGAGGCGCTTAGCGCCGAGGCAATCGAGGCGCCGAGCGTGAGGCCACGAGCTCCGGACGGCCGGGCACCACGCGCGCCACGGGCGAAGCTCCTCCCTCTGCTCGCCCAAATCCCCGCGCCCCTGCGTCTGAATCCGGTGTGTCCTGCCCTGATCCGTCCCCTCCTCCGCTTCCCAGCGATGGGCGCCGGCCGTGTCTGCCGCGGTGGCCCCTCCTCCGCTTCCCCCGCGGGCGGCCGGTCCCGAGGCTCGCCACATCCTCCTCCGCCTCCCCTTCCTCGGCCCCCCTCAGAGGCAGGCGTCCACGCCGGTCACCAAGGCAGTGAGCAGGCGCCCACCACTTCAAGATCGCGGGCTACTCCCTCTCCAAGGGGATCGGGGTGGGAAGTTCATCGCCTCCGGAGTCCTTCAACGTGGGGATGGCGCTGGCTACCTCTCGCTATGTTGGTGAGGCACGGGAAGGTGGGTGAGGAGAAGGTCACCGAGGTCAGGTGGTTCCTCGACTCCAGTGCGGTGCCCGGCGTGCCTGATGGACCACCCAAGTCGTTGGCCTCTTGCTAGGAGGGAGTCCTTTGCGAAGAGGCGGGGTTGGCCCACGAACCCCATGGGGAGGAAGCTGTTTGAGGTGAGGAGGAGGTGAGCAGAGCAACTTGTGTGTTACGGCGGATGTTGGGACAACAAAAGAGCTACTTGAGCTTGCTGACGAGGTATACATGCCATTAGTTCTTGTGTATTTGCGATGCCTTTCTACTATTTGCTAATAGTGTGTTAATTTGTTTGCTCCATTTGTGTTGGTTGGTCTAGAGATTTGAATGTTGAATACTCAGTTTGATATCTTTTCTGATTTTACACCAGATTTTGGGGCCAAGCTTCATACAGAATGTTCTCTTCTGACATCATCTTTCTTATCTTCTCTTTTGTCGTATTACTGATCATCATTCTTTTATTGTGTGTCCATAATAGCTCAGTTGGATTTCAAAAATTGTACTTTGTCTATCACAAATAAGATGTAGAAGCTACAATAGTTCAGATTATTTTCTATCATTCTCCAATTCAATGTAGAAGCTTTTTTATATTGGATTGGATTATATCTTCTCATATCCTTAATGAAGAGCTCTGCACCAGTCTAGCTATCCACGGAGCAGAAAGTTTAAGTTTTGGGTTGCAAAGCAGAGCAGCGATGATTTATCTATTTGACAAAATTATTATGACATTAATCATATAAGAGCTCTGCACTGGTCTAGCTATCTACAGAGCAGAAAGTTTAACTATAACAAATGCTCCTTCCGTGTTTTTTCTTTTTCAGTTGCAAGGGTCAAGGGATACAAACGTTTATTTCAGCAGCTCAGAAGCCTAAAAGTTCATCGATTTTATGCTAATAATGAGACCGATGCTGCTATTTTTTGGCTATTTTTGCCATCAGCTGCTGCTCTATGTTTGCTAAGCAGCTATTGCTTTTTTTGTCAAATTTCCCCTCTCCTCTGCTCTCCTTTGTTTTACCGATGATAAAATTGTCCAAGTCCATACATTATATGGAATATGAGCTGATGATCAAGAACTTGTGAGGAACTTGACATCATTACCAACCGCCCCTATATTATCTTCTCCTCTCTTCTCTGTTATGATGCCTTGATGCTCCAAGTTCATGATCAAATGATGATTGACATGTTTCTGATGTCTTTACTACTGCTACTACTCGTTTTTTGATATATTATTGTTTAATAGGACTACTTTGGTTTATAGATCTTTTTTATTTCTTATACCTTCTCGCGTACCTAAATCATATTTTCTTGCATCTATTAGAACAAAGCGCGAAATAATGTCACGGACACCAGACAGTGCAACCCGATGCCCCGAGCATGATGAGCAGCCAACCTATGAGGAGCAAGCACTAGAGGACCAGCTTACTCAGGACCAGTTCGATAACGAGTTAGAAAAAGGATCTAAAAGTAATGCTTACTCAGGAGCAGTGTGACGAGGAGAAAAAGGGAGCAGAAAGAAGAGCTGGAGAGGCTGCTGAAGGCGAAGAAGAAGAGGATGATGATGAGGAGGACTCAGAAGAGGGATATGTAAGTCCCGAATATCCTTTCCCACGTGAAGCCAGAAGGAGGCCAACGGAGAAAGATTTGGACAAGGATTTTGACCCGAACGAGGAGGTAGGGATAAAGCCTTAGCTTGTAAATTTTGCTAAAGCTTTAGCTGTGTTACCTCTGCTAACACTTTGACCTATCATATATACAGGTCCCTCCTAAAACTCGAAAAAGACGACGTCGACGTCCGCGACATCTCGCCGGACAAGACAGAGTAGAGGAAAGGAGAGCAGAGGCAACAACCACAGAGACAGACATTGAGGCCTCTGCTCCACAACCTCAAGACACAACCACGAACACGACTACCAAGCCAAAGAGGAAACGAGAGAATAGAAAAGCAAACCAATATCCAGATAAGGCATGCAATGTGATAACGGAGGTTGGGCCAGCAGGGGAGATCCTTGAGCTAAAGAAATTCAGAGGACGATTTCGTAATGCGATCGGGGTCCTAGTAAAAGATAAATTGAACCCAGCAATCCCTAACTGGAAAGAGGTATCAGAGAAGGAAAATGATGAACTATGGGATAAGAGTTGAAGCTCAATTTTAGATTTTCGGAGGGTAAGCAAGAACTGGTAAAAAAATACTTTCAAGATCATGGGAGAGTCATTCCGACGTTGGAGGTCGGAGCTCAACAAGAAGTATATCCATAAGGGGTTAACTCCCTTCAACGAGTTCGGCAACATAACTCCTAATCAATGGAAGGAGCTCGTGACTCAGAAGACTTCACCGAAGGCATTGGAGCTTAGTGCCCGTAACACCGAGCTGGCGAAGAGGAACAAACACCACCATCATCTAGGCCCCGGTGGCTACTATGCCAAGGAAGAGAAGTTTAGGAAGATGGACAAAGAGGCCGCAACTTCTGGAAATATCAATGTAAAGAATTTGAAGGTACACTCAAGGAATTGGATATATGTGAGGAGTACAGAATCATCCGGTGGTAATCTTAAATTTGATAAGTCGGAGACCCAAGAGGCAGTATCAAGGATACTGAAATATGCTGAAGACAAGGAGAAGGGCTCTTTCAATCCTTCTAGAGAGAGGGACAAGCTTAGCCTTGTCTTAGGAAACAACGAGCACATAGGCCGCACCAGGGGGCTAGGGAAAAGGACGACCTAGAAGCACAGATTCAAAGAGGACAGGCACATGTACAAGAAACATGGCAGAGACCGGGAGACTAATCTTGAGCTCCAAGTAAAGTCTCTAGTTGCGAAGGCGCTGGAGGAGCAAGGACTGTCTACGAAGCCATGGACATTAATGACGTCACTGGGAGAACCGACATTAGTTGGCAGCCCTCTGGAAGTTCGTAGCAGCCAAGGTTCCACTGCAGCCACAACCCCCATCGATCGTATACGGGAACCAACTAGTTGCACCTTGATGTTTCTCAGCGGCTGGCAGAACATTGTGATGGAGGTGGCAATGGGTGTGGCACATCCTCTCGGTGACTTACACCATAATAATAAGATACCGCTGGACTACACTAGGGTCGAGGTGCATACCGTGAAGCCCGAGTTCATGCAGTGGAGGATAGACTATGCAACTCCCGATGGGCTGTTACTCGAAGACGTAATGGGGCAGTTCATCCTCTGGCACAAACGAGACATTATATTGACTGCTTCTTCGCCGCCTCCCCCTCTCTCAAATTTGGAGCGAGTTGTTGAGGACGGAGAGATATTTTCACCGACTCGTGACCACCACATTCCTAAGATGCCATGTTCTTCTCCGTCAACTAGCGAGCATGTGCCTGATAAGCCACAACCTTCTCCAGTTCGTATCGAGCAAGTGCATGATGAGATGCCATAGTCTTCTCAACAAGCGCAGCCGATACATGAACAACGAGTGCCTCCTGAAGAAGGTGATGCATAAGAAGATGAGGACGTGCCTGAATGGGAACTTCGAAAGAGGCATCCAATCACCATAAGGCCAATTTATGTTCCGATGAAAGACGTCTCGTCAGTGCACAAATGGTATGCCCATGACCAGTTCAAGCCTGAGAACCAAGTTAAAAAAAGTCCCAACACGGGCTTCTAAGGAGGCCGTCACTAGCAAAGTCCACCAAACAGCAAAGAAGTATCCAAATATTGATGCCATCAAATGGTCAAAGGATTACCCGAAACATATGAAAGAGGCAAGCCCTTCCTACCAAATCAGGACATCCAGCGCCTACCACCTAGAATGAGAAGGTTCCATGATTGGTATTTGTGTGTTCTACAAGCGAGCATAGACCTCGTACAAGCATGTTTCCCCGCCGTCACATTTGGAAGCCCAGCCGGAAAAATTATCTTTGACTTCAATGACATGCAGACATGCTTTCATCTCGGAGCAATGGAAATGAATCTAATTCGCACGTGGTGCCTGTAAGTCATTGCCTTCCCGATATGATATGAATGTAATTTTTGGATTTTGTTGTATCTAACCCACGCCGTGATTTGTAGAATGCAAGTGCACATTGTAAAACAAATGTCAAGTCTGAAAGCCGGGTATATAGACCCTCAAGCTATAGCACAAACAAATTTTAATTACCCTAGACAGTGAAAACTGGATGCCAAAGAGCTAGCTGCTGAAAAGACCCTTCGGGAGAAAGAGAACATCCGTGTGAAGAAACTAAGGCAAGAGTCCCTTAAGGTTTCGGCATACATTACCCTAGCTTTTAAAAATCTCCAATAGCACTCTACTATATGGCTACCATATAACTTCAAGTAAGTTCAACTCTATACTTAAAGCTTTGTTCGATATATTTTATTCAATGCAAAAGAGCTTATCTAGTTCTATGATTAAATTCATGTAGCAACCACTGGATTTGTATAGGCGTCGATGTCGGGAGTAGCATGGCATGGGTCTTTGATTCAATAGATAGGGACCCGGTGACATACAAAGACTTTATATCGATTCTCAAGACGTATACATATCGACAATCCTCATTAGCTTATATGTTTATAAGGCTGGACGAAAAACTCAAAGCTCGTTAGCTCGCTCGGCCCGTGGCTAGCTCGACTCGGCTCGGTTGGGCTCGGCTCGTGATGATAACGAGCCGAGCCGAGTCAAGATTTTAGCTCGTTAGCTATAATGAGCCAACTTGACCTAGCTCGCGAGCCGCTCGCGAGCTAAATGAGCCAAGCTTCCAGAGAAAAAAGTATCAAAACTTATATTAGTTTTTGTATTACTTCATGTCTTGCACTTTACAATTGACTGATAACTGGTCTAGACCCTATAAATTTAGGATTATTATTACTATATTATTTTGTTTTTAATGGATATATGGATACTCATGGACCGTATTATTTATGGTATGGAATATGGACCATGAATACTATAGTATTTTATTATACTTGTATATATATTAGCGCATATTATTTTTTATTCAATTTAAGGTTGTTAGATGCATTTCTTTTGTATTGTTATTATTCTCAAACTTTAGATAAATGTAAATATTATATTTTGTGTATTTTTTATACCTGGCTCGCGAGCTTAACGAGCCAGCTCCAGCTTTTAACGAACCGAGCCGAGCTGGTTTTTTGGCTCGTTAGGATAACGCGCCGAGCCGAGCTAGCTCGTTATCTTAACGAGCCAGAACGAGCCGAGCCGAGCCGAGCCGGCTCGTTATCCAGCCCTATATGTTTGTATACATACTTGTAACGTTCACTTTTGGATACTAACAAGTTACATTTGCTAAAATAATTCGAACATGGCATTCAGGTTCTATGTCAATGAACATCACGGAAGGCATGATCCAGTAAGGAAGAAAAGACTGGCTATAAAAACACTATGTGCGATAAGTGTAATTTACTTTAGTACTCCATTACATGGTTGTCAAAAGCATTACTTAACATTTCCATATGCAAAACACACAGTGCCCCAAGCAGAAGCCTGAGAGTGTACATTGTGGATACTATGTATGTTCTATGATGAGTAACACCGGTGCCTACAGGAGACACCCCTTAAGGGTAAGTTTGAACCTCTTTACCCGTAATATAAAAACTTCGCACATGATATGAAATACTAAACCGAAACTTGCTCTCTTGTAGTAGAAAGAAGAGAAAGAAATGAAAAGAGACCCATACAAGGATGACCAACTCTTAGAGCTCGTCGGCGACCTTTGTAACTTCACATTGGACCAGATTGTACACGTCAAAGGCACCTACCATGACCAAGATTCTGACTTAGGTAGAAATCCTTAGTACCAACACTTTCGTGAGACTGAAAGGCTAGCTCTAGGCCCTTGATAACAATGTGTATGGAATTTGACAGTGGTCTTACCTTGTGCGACGGTTTAGACTTGTGGAACGAATTAGACTTGTGAATTATGTCTATTTAATAATGGATTGTATATATTCTTGTGAATTAGACTTGTAATGGTAGTTTATATAATGCTCTTGTGCTTGTGGTCAGATTTGAATTATATATATATATATATATATATATATATATATATATATATATATATATATATATATATATATATATATATATTCTGGTCGAATTTGAATTTTTTTTGCGGAAAAATGTACTGTAGGGACGGTTCTAGACTAAACCGCCCCTACAAATCAATTTTATAGAGGTGGCTGATGTTACCATGTAGGGACGGCTGATAACACCAGCCGCATCTATAAATCGATTTGTAAAGGCAGTCTGGGAACCGCCCCTACAAATACATGATTTGTAGAGACGGTATAGTAGAAGCGGCTGGCCGAGCCGCCTCTACAAAACCTCACCAGCCGCCCCTAGAAACCATTCCTATAGTGACGGTATTGTCTCATCCCTGATGAGCTACTCGCCTACTTAAACAAAGTTTGCTTGAATTAAACCTTGTGAACATTGCACAGAGAGCCCACCTAAATCTTAAAGTTAACTATATATATGACATATTCACGTATCTAACACCGAGTATTATACCATACACGTAGTGTTGTAAGCCATAGATCATGGACATGTGCATTTGCAGGAATGATAATGCTGAGTTGCCGATCAGTAGGTCATGGACAACCCTATATTGAGAGTCAAAACTTGACCTTTTGGGTCAAATTTCTCGGTGCATGAAACTCAGTAGCTTTGTTAACAAAATTGCTTTTGTGTCTTAGCAAGTCATGATCCAAGCATGAAAAATAGTTTAGCTATTTGAAATAATCTATTTTTCTTCATCTGTAAACTTTCGTCCTCCCTCAAGATCCATCGGTTCTACTCCCTCCGTTCACAATTATAAGACGTTTTTGGCTTTTCTAGATTCATTGTTTTTACTGCGCACTTAGATATATGTTATGTCTAGATACATACATATATATATATATATATATATAGTAAAAACTATGAATCTAGAAATATCAAAATGTCTTATAATTTGAAACAGAGGAAGTACATCCTAGACATAGTCAAAGTTATGTCTGATTAGTTAGGTTAGAGTTACCAGAATATATATGTGCTCTCGGGTAACCACATCTTTGTTATAATGTAGTACCTAGCTAGACAAATGAAGGGCCTTTGATGGAGCAAAGTCAGGTAAACGCATTGTTATGACTTCAAAAATTGGGGGCCATGCGCCCATGCTAGAACAACGGTACGCAATGCATTTTATTAGAGTTATTAGACAGTGACACTAGGCAGCACTTTATGGTGCTATACAATGCTACAGTTTACCTGGGTTTACCATCTTAATAACTTAATTCATCGTGTCTCTTTGTTCCATTGAACCTTTTTTTGTTTTGTTTTGAAATGACCCGCAGGAGCTCTAGAAGGATGTTCAATTGAAGTTAGACTCTTCACAGATCACGTTGTTTGGACAATAAGACCTTTGTTCATGTTAAACTAAACGTTAAATAAGTTGTAACTTTGCAGCATAGATTTTGGTAGCAAATTATAACTTGGAGTTTTCTATCGCAAAAAAGAAAATCAAGCTATGGATTTGGTGCCTTTTGGATGACCGTAAAAGGGTTCATTATTAAGGAATGTCTATAACAAGTTAACAAGATATCAACAAAGAGAAGCAATAATTTTTTTTTCAGAAATGCTTAACTTCGACTGTGCAGAGTTCGGTGGTTTGGTGGTTCACGTTATTAAGGAATCTCTATAACAAGTTAACTTCGTCGGAAGAGACAGCGACAGGGTGGGGTGGTGGGCGAAGATGGCAGTTTGGTGGTGCAAGTGGCAGGGACATTGGCAGAAGAAAGAGATCATGCATGGGATCAGCACCGGTGGCGGTGGAGGCGGGGGCAGTCGAGCTGGACATGGACAAGCGAGATCCTATGATTAGCGATGGTTGTGGTACGGGAAGATGGGGAGGGCAGCGACGCCCGGGCCGAACGGGAATTGGCGACATGAGGAAGCGTAGAGGGGAGGTGGAGTGGGGGCATGAGGAAGCGTAGAGGGGAGGTGGAGTGGGGACATAGAAAGAAAATGAGCACAAGAAACTGGAAGTAAGGCCCTTCTTTTTTTATACTTATTGAAGAGAAAAGCAATCATATAAGCTCAAGTGTGTATGCTAAAAAATAAGTACTGTGTATTTGTTACTGTCCAATATCGCCGACACATAAGTACAGCATTACAATTTGACAACGATACTATAGGATCCAGGAAGAAACATCCACCGAAAAGAGGGGAAGGGTCCTCAGGTTGGTGGGAAAAAGGATCCAAGATGCTACCTCTGGAACAAACTCTAATTTCTACAGCATACTTTCGCCAATCTCTCACCGCACTAGGATCTTCCTAGTTCCTAGTACTCATCTAGCTGAGAAGATGGAGCATCTAGCTGCAAAAATTGCACAAAGAGAAGAACAAATTCGTTCTTGTGATGGAGCAGCACTTCCATGGAGAATCCTCAGCCATTAATTCCCTACTGTGCCATCACAAGCACCGATTCATCAGGCCACAGATGACCACCAAACCCAAGGCGAGCAGATGATCCGTCCCGGCCCCCACCGCCAGCGTCAGGACATCGTCCCCCAGCGCAACCCCGGACGGCGTCCGCTTCTGCTCGACCGCCGCCGCGACCGCGCCGCCAGCGCCGGTGACTTGGTAGCCCGACTTGCCAGTGCACCCTTGGATCGTGTACGCGGGCCCGCTGCCACCACTTACATGGTGCGTCATCGTCACGGTGGCTCCGTTCTTCCCAGCACCCATCTTTTGCACTCTGAACCACGGCGTCGTCGTCTCCTCGCCGTCATCAGAGCACCGGCAGGCCTCCCACCTCCTGAACACCCCAGGGAGGCCCTTCCTTTGGACCCTGATGAGGGTCTTCCCGGCGCGGTCCATGAGGAACACCTCGCGGCCGCCGCGGCAGCCGTAGTTGTCGACGCGGAAGGCGACGCCGCCGTCGGCGCCGTAGACGGTGCAGCCGTTGCCGTTGAAGACCAGCGACTTCATCCACACCGTGTACTCTGCCTGCTTCTGGAGGCTCCGCCGCTCATCCCCTGAGGGAGAGCAGGAGGGAGGCGATGATGCAGCTGCAGGCAGAGGCAGGGGCTGGATCTTGGCCATTGATGGTGTCCAGGAGCTAGCAGAGCTCCTCTCTGATTGCTTGCTTGGTGCCTTGCTCTGCTGCTGTTGGTAGCTAGCTGCAGGCTGCAGTGAGACGATGACTGGTCACCCACATATATTTATAGGCCCATCTATTGTTTTTTTCTAGTTTCAGAGACTTATTAAGGGGCCTGTTTGGATGAGTTTTAAATTCTTAAAAACCACTTTTTTTTTTGTCTCTAATCTCTAAAATCTGAATTCTGAGTAAAAATTAGTGGGGTGTTTAGATCTCTCAGTTTTTAAGAATCTTGCTTCATTTATTGTTCACAGGGTCACAAGAAACTGACAAAAGCTATGTACCAATAGCTTTCTGGTTTTTAAGAATCCGGCAAAAACTAAGAGAAAAAACTAGCATTTGGATCTCATCCAGTTTCCAAAAGCCAGGTTTTTAAAAACCGGCAAAAACTAGCACTCTGTTCGGCTGGGGCTGGCTGGCTGGCTGGGCTGGCCAGCTCCCTCACATTGACACTATTCACATGAACCAACCAGTAATACTTCTCTCTCACATAAACGAACCAGCAACGATATGAACCAGCAAACCGAACAGGCCGTAGAGAGGTCCAGGGCCTCAAAATTCGAGCGGGTAACTGGGTGCTTGTTCCTATACGCGTCATGGGAAATGATAGATTATAGTGCTTTAACAAAGTTGTTTATGCTCATTCTAGTTTTGTACGAGTCAGCAGTGAGAAGGTTACAATTATCATCACGTTTACCAAGTGTGTGCGCGTGTCTCTGGAGTTTAGAAAAATCTTAGCATGGTTTGGTATACTTTGGTAGGTAACTAAAACCTTCACTGATGTACTTGTACAGGTGTATAGGTAGGCGTTGAACTGCAGCAATGCTATTAAAACAGGCCCTGTTTACTTGGATTTTTTTTTATAATGGAACAAAGTTTCATCCCTTCCAGAGATAGTACACAGCTCAAGGTTCAGGTACAAAACAGAACCATAAGGTTCACAAAATTTCAAGAAAAGGAAAAAAAAAGATTCCGCCCTAAAAAAAAGCACAGAAACAAAGCAAAGTGCTAAGCCTCGACGTGGTTCCTGAATTTTCAGCCAAATTTTGCGAAGATAGCCAAGGGCAAAGTCTATCATCTTGTGGAGCCTTTCATAAACAAAGGTCGCTCCTCCTTCCTATGCAGCATGGACCACTGTCGGATCCGATAAGTCGCCCTAAAAATTACCTGCATAGAAGTATAAGATTTAGCTTTGTTAAATACCACGCCATTTCTATTCAACCAAATCGCCCAACAAAGTGCAGCAGCTCCAAGCAAAATTTGGCTTCTTAGCTTTGGACTTAATCCATGTAGCCAAAACCAAACAGATTAGCGAAGCTAGTAGGTGATTGAATTCCAAACGTGATATGCACAGTATTCCAAACAAAGCTGGCAAAATGGCAATCAAAGAACAAATGTTGGATAGTTTCATCAGAACTACAGAAACAACATTTGACACTTCCTTGCCAGTTCCGCTTTGCTAAATTATCTTTCGTAAGTGTTACACCTTTTTTAAATACCATAGGAAAATTTTAATTTTCAATGGTATTTTTGTCAGGAAGAATGTCTTGTTGGATCAAATTTCTTAACATGGAACTGACTGTGAACAAGCCTTTCTTACAAAGGTTCCATCGGAAAACATCATCTCTCGCATTTGTGAGGTGAACATTTACTGCTTTTGATACTAGATCAAACCAAGCGATCCGATTTGCATTAACCAAACCTCGCCTAAAGGACACATTTAGTGGTGTAGTCCCTAGAGCTGTAGGATGATTAGCAGGAGGCGGCGCGCGCCACCTCGGTGGCCTCTCCTCCTCGCCTCCGACGCCTTGGCCTCGCTGCCGTCCCGACGCTGCCTCTCCTCCGTTCGGCAGCTAGCCAAGTTCATATATGGCGTAGAGAACAAGAGAGAGGGTGATCTAGTATCAAACGGCGTGAGATTCTCCAACAGCAGGAGACACGACCTACGGTCGCCTCAACCAAGAAGCAGCTTCCGCAAGCTCGAAAGATCCCGACAGATCTACACGGCAGATGTTTCAACTGCCTTTCATACTCACACCGAGTAGCGACCTGCCGGTTGCCACAGCGTTGTCTGCGCTGTCACGGCTACCGTCACCTCGCTAGGGACTGCAAGTGTCCCAGGCGTGTCGCGGCGACGGTGTCGGAGGCAGGAGGCGGCGGCTCACGGCCCTCCTTGCACGTGCCACATGGTGGCTCCGATGGAGCCGCGCAGGTGGCTGTGGGGGGCACCAACGGCTTCCGTCGACGACGCCGGCGGTGGCGGAGCAAGCTGCCGAGGGAGATCTACATTGCCGCGACTGGCAACGTCGCTACTTCTACTACCGCACGCTGGTCCCAAGAGTCTGATCCGCTGTGGTGGCACTGCGCGAGTGCGCTAGACCTCCCGTTTGGGTTGACCCGATGCTCGATGAGCTCAATGCCTCGCTTGTCGTCAGTCAACCAGCGGGTGCTCCAGCGCTTGGGCGCCCGTCTACTTCGACTGCGGCCTCTCTGGAGGTTCAGGCACCCATTCGCCTTCACGGATGGTTCAGCTCAGCTTCGCGGATGCTGAGGCGCCGGGGGTGGATGGTGACAATCGGCCACCTCCCTCTATGCCGACGTGGGATCGGCAACCGGACGATGATGATGTTTCTCCTTCGACCCTCGCCAGGGAGTTTGCTAGGCGCGTCTCCATCCCGCTGAAGACTCCCATCCTCAAGGCGCCACCTCGACGTCGAATCCGTCGCTCTCCGTCGTTGGTCACCATCCGCAGTAGCACACGTCTAGCGGCATAGTGTGCCTCTTGGGCCCCTAACGCCACCCTTCAAGCGCAGAAGGTGCTTGTGTCAAGTGGGAACCCACCGCCTCACAGCCGTCGGATAACCAAGTAGTGGCAGACTTCCAGCGGTCATTCCAGGGCCCGCTCGACTCCGCAAAAAGGGACGCACTTCGTGCGCTTATGAAGTTCGACGTTGCGGGGTTCGAGTGTATGTTCGAGGAGGCTTGCTAATCTCGTTGGCACCTGCCCAATTGGTTGCACAACTCTCATGTAATGTAATTTAAATCAGGTTTATTTGGGTCGTGTTGGCTTCCATCCTTTCACGGTAATCTATGGATTTATTTGGGATGTTGTAACTAGTCAAACTCTACTCTGCTTAATAAAAATATGTGTCACAAGGACACGCTCGCGAAAAACTGATCGGAGGATTTCACCAGATCCAGACCTTATTGTGCTGTAGTAAGTAGCTGTGAAGCACAGTAATTGTAACAGATGAGTCTTTCCGTGATCTTATTATAGTTTTCCAAACGCGTCGGCATGGCACTACACGGCACTAGCCCGCCCCAGCACGGCACGCTAGGCACGGCTGATGAACCGTGCCGTGCCGTGTCGTGCCACCGTGCCCGACTCCAGGCTCAAGCACGGCACTATCATTCCTAAGCGTGCCGTGTTGTGCCATGCCGACTCCAGGCTCAGCGTGCCCGTGCTGGCCCAGGCACTAAACTGGCAAAACCCCTCAATAAACTCAACACAACAATTCAAAGAGATCTAAAATGACTAAATTCACAAAAGATAAAAAAAACAGATCAGAACACAGCACAGCAAAGAACACAAACTTTTGAAACTAAAACTAATTTAAGTAGGAGCTGTGCAATGGCTGCCTCATTAAAAACCTGTTTAGGTAAAACTCACCCTTGTGAGAAACCCTAAACAGGAAAAGAGTACAACCAGCTCCTAGAAAAATTGTTCATTACATCCATCACCACAAGTTCAAGTCTCAGTTATTACAGAACCATTACATAAATGGGAAGTGAACTAGTCGACATCAACGGAGACCGGAGCCCCGGAGGTGGCGGCAGCCAGCGACGTGGACGACGGACAGATGACGGAGATGCGGCGAGGATGCTGAGAACGAGGCTTAATCGACGTTCAGGGATGAAGAATAAGGGAACAGATGGAGATTGAGGGCGGGAACCACCGGATTTGAGGGAGAAGAGGGAGATTGAGGGCGGAGAGGGAGAAGAGGGAACCACCGGCCACCGCAACTGACCCCTTACCCGCCGGAAGACTCCATGGTGACGGCGTCGAGGATCCCAGGTTACGAGTGCGGCGAAGAGCGGCGAGCAGGCGAGGAGCTAGGGTTATGAGTGCGACGAGGAGCGGGCGAGCGACAGAATGAGCGGGGAGAGCCGGAGAGGAGAGGGCGAGAGGCTAGGGTTACAAGTGAGGGGAGTGGGGAGAGCGGCCGCATCGGGCGCTTATATACCGGACCCCTCGGCCGCCCGGCGATCCAACGGCTCACGCCCCGCCTCCGCGATCCGACGGCTGCGAGCCATGCCTGCCCCGTGCCGCCCGTTGGAACGGGCCGTGCCTGGGCCGACCTTTCGGCCCAGGCCCAGGCACGGGCACGGCTACGGGCCAGGCCGTAACGGGCTAGGGCCGTGCGACATGGATGTAAGCGAGAGGCCCCATCGCTTCTTCAAATGACGTCTAAGATTATGATCTGATCCCAGAGGAACAGCGAATTTAACACGTGCGATCAGGTTTCCACGTCGATCGTCAGAAGCACATTGTTCTATTCGGCTGAAGGATAAGTACTGACAGTGTCATTGTGTCACGCCTAATTAGTAGGCCTGATTACAATTTTCTGGCGGCTTCTCCTACTTGAAATGATGTGGCGGCCGATTTATATTGTTGTTCGTCCCCTTTTCTATGATGTCATCTACAGCGACAGACACCCATAACAAACTCATCCACACATGGTATACCAAAAGTCCATCCATATATACAACAATAAACAATAGTATATTATGCATTACGTTCCTAGAGGAAATTAGGAGCCTTGTGCAGATTACCAACTGTGCTAAATAATGGGAGTAAATTATTTGCAGATGCAGTTGTACAAGCTCGATCGATGTGATGCCTTGGAAGACTTCCGATTTCCGAGGATTAATTTTCTCCCAAACC